TGCAACTCATGCTGCTACCCAAAGGATACTTAACGACAGTAGGATACTCAGAACCCTCAAGTAGGCTGTATGCTATCAATGGCTCATGTGCTGATACTGGTGACAATCAGCACTCACTATGGGCCAGGCCTTTGTCCGACTGACCCTGGGGGTAGGGGAACAGAGGTACAGAGAGACAGACCAGCCCCTAGACTATGAAGCCAGCCCAAGCATCACGCTGAGAGCCCCAGGTGCTCACGGCCCCCACCTGCTACAACCTCAATGGTGCCGATCTCCAGGCAGTGAGATTCCAGGTTTCCTTAGCTGCTTCTTCATGTCACTGTCCCAAATGTCCGTAATGATCACTCACAATCTTCATAATCACTAACAAAGGCAATACCACACTTTAAAATGTGGTTTCACCCCTTCCACCATTCAGAGGGCACCGCTTAGCCACTAGGCCAAGAGCAGGTGAAGGACACTGGGATCAGGATGACTGCTCCTTGGGGTCCACCAGCTAGCATGGGTCCCAGGAGACTGACACTTCAGACAGGATCACAGCGGGGTCCTTCTCGACACCAGACACATATGCTCCATTACTAACAGGAATCATTCCTGTGTGGAACGTGCATCAGAGAAGAGGACAAATCAAAGAAGAGTAAACACTTAAAACGATCTGACTGCTTGCTTCAGCAGCACATATACTAAAGCTGGGACGATACAGAGAAGATAAGCACGCCAGCACTTACATCTAAATCTAAATACGACACAACCTAAAATGCAACACAAGTGAACCTACTGAGAAAACAGGAACAGTCCCACAGACACAAAGGACAAACCTGTGGATGCCAAGGGAGCGGGGCTGCGGGAAGAAGGGGGTGGGAGGCTGGGGTTCGCAGATGTGAGCGATCACAGATGGGACAGATCAACAGCAAGATCCCGCCGTACAGCACAGAGAGCTATACAGTCAAATCCTGGGATAAACCGTAATGGAAAAGAACGTTGTAAACAATCAACACGACATCGTAAATCAGCTATACTTCAATAAAAATAAATAAGAACCACCAAAAACCAAAAAAAGATCTGACTTCAGCCAAGGCCACAGGAAGGTAAAAACACAGATTTCACATGATCCCTGGTATTCAAAACTTAATCAAGATTTCAATCAAAAGTGCTCTTCTTTAACCCACCACACACACAGGCGTCCCTCCTCCAGCCCACAGCAGTCCCCCTACCCTAAGCGGTAGCCCCAGCCCAGAGTGGTACCCCTACCTCACCCTTGGGGTGGCCATGGCAGAGTACCGATGAAGCCGAGTAACTGACAACCTTTGAGCCATGGCTTCCTTGTCACCTGTGCCATCAAGAGCATCCACCCAGGTGACATCGGGTACCTCTTTCCTCCCCTCCAGCTCCCTGGGCTCCCAAGAGGTTCAAGGAAGGTACCGACTGGGAAAGCAAGTGCCCAGTACAGGAAATGCCCCTGTGACCACCATGGTAAGTTTCCATGAGGCTGGACGAGCAGGTACGCTTTCCACGGGAACTCCTGGTTAGGCTGTTTATACTAAACATCTGGTATCCACCTGGTACAGAAACAAACTGTTCTAAACCAGATGGTTCCAAGTAACCCTTCGAGTAACCTTGGACTCAAGTGTGCTCAGCCGGTTTCCGTGACCTTCCACGATGGAACACGACTCCAAAAACACAGACTTCACATGATCCCAGGTGTTCAAAACTTAATAAAGATTTCAATCAAGAATGCTTTTCTTTAAAAATTTAATTTTTTTAAATGTCACTTTTTGGACTACACTGTAAAATAACCTAAATGCGTATCTTTCCTATTTTAAAAGACAATTGCATGTCTTTTTTAAAAAATCAATTAAAATACACTGATGCACTAACGGTATCAATAGAGTAAACAAAAGCACCTCCTCTCTTCGCTGCAGTAAGCATCCAAGGGGACAGTGCTGGCTGCTTCTAGAATCTGATCCCTTCAGGGTGCTGCCGCAGAGGCCCTGCCCCAGGATGAACTTCGGGGTGTTAAGATCTTTAACTCGCCATGACGGAGGACAGGGGCTGACCCGTGTGGCCCCGCAGCTGACCTCCCAGGTCTGTGCCCACGTCCCCTCCACACCTCATCCCCTGGACGTCCAGCGTGTGGCCATCTCCAGGGGTTGCATGACAGGTCTGCACACAATGAGACAACTCAGTGCTGGCTGGCCCTTCTGACAGTGGTGGGGCCGGCTTTGAGTAAACAGATTATCTCCACGGTTACCAGCTCTCTGGTGCAGGGGAAATGAGCAGCTGGTCCTGTCGAATGAAACACGACTTCCACAGGCTGTGAAGATGACACTGACACGAGGCGAGTATGAGAGACAGCAACTGAGCCTTCAGGGAGCGGGGGGATGAAGGGCCTCCAAGGAAGAAACAGAAATGGTGGGGTTCCCAAATCCCCTACCACCAGGCCCAGAAAACAGGACAACCTGCACCCTTTTTGCTGCCACCATCCACATAAGTGATAAACAAACATCAAGGCAAACTGACAAGGCTTCCCTGAAGCCACTCTCTTGAGGCCAGCTATTTCTGAGCAGGCCGGAACAGGAACCAACAGCTGGACCTCTGTCAGGAAGCACCCACAGGGCTGAGTGTCACATGAGCATACTCGGGGGCTCAAAGAATTACTGAAGAAGGGCAGGAAGTGTGCCCGCCACAGAAGGTGAGCAAAGACAGCGGGACAATAGCTGTGAGGACAACGTCCCAGTAGGACATGAGCACAGGACATAGCAGGTTTTATAAATTCTGAGCACAAACTGCACTTTCCATGAAATCAAGATGCTGGATCCTTTCACAGAGGCCCAGAAGAGCAAATGAAGTTAAAAGGCATGTGGAAGGTTTCTCATCTTCTACTTTCTCCAAGAAATGAGCCTACGAAGAAGGCCCCACAGGAAGAGGAAGGACATTGTGTAGCATTTACTTCATTTAAGACGCTCCTGAGAACCGACTCATGGAGAGCTTCCAGCATCGAGAACTGTGATGTGTACATGACAGAGACATTTCTCCATTTAAACCCGATGGTGCTACGTTATGTGTTAGACCACTGAGCTGCCCCCGAAGGTGAAGCAGCATTTGAAAGAATTGAGGACCACAGCTCCCAGTGAATGCAGGTCCCCCATTTAAGCCCCTACTCCCCTCAAGGTGGTCCAGGCATGCATCATGGGGGCCAGCATGTGGAGCCCAGCCCCCAGAGCAGCCTCCCTGCCCACACCATCTAGAAGATGCACTGCACACAGTAGGTACAAAACTGAGTGAACCTAAGTGTTTCTCTCTCATTCCTTTTCCAACACAACACACACATCCCTTGAAATTTTTTTAAACTGCTTACGCCATTGCTCCTGGAGACATTTCCCTAATGTTTCCCACAAACATAATCTTCTTTATAACTGAAGGATAATAGACACCTCTTTACCCTCTTGAAATACACTTACCATCCGCAATCTTTCAGCTTCTCCAAAGTTTATGTATATTAACGACAGTCTAAAGCTTTGGAGGAAAACCTCTTTCCTATCCCGCGACCTGTCGCCTAGCCTAAAGTAACTGTGACATGAGTTTGATCTGTGAATAAGGCTAGTGCCTGGACACTTTGTGGACAATACAACTACAGGGACAGGCAGAACTGCGGATTGGTTCTCTCAGCACAGGCCCCTGGACTACTGGATAGTCACAGAAAGAGATGATTAAGGTAGAATCCTTGCATCTCCAAACACATTAACGAGCCTCCCCAAAGAAGGAGCATGAGAAAGCAAGGAGCTACTTTCCACCCAGGTGACCAGCCCCCACATCCCAGTCACACCACAAAGGACAAGAGACTTCCCCAGCTGGTCACAACCCACATGCCCCACAGCACATGGCAAAACTGCCTGCTGAGGAGCGTCTCCAGTCTAGGGTGGCTGCCTGGATGTTTAGAAATCTCCACTGGTGACTGATTCCATGGCCACCGTGGGAATTGACTGCTTTAACTCTTAGCTGGGAAACAAAGTTTCTAAACTGAATCATCACTGGACTATGCTAAAATTCAAATACAACTGCTTGCTTAGAAATAACCCTCAGAGAGAAAACAGTCTTCTACTGACAGACTGATTCCCTTTTTTCAACACTGAAAGCCCAAATTTTCAGTTTCTCTAAGATCAAAACACCCTACCTTCTCTAAGTCCCCGACAGCCCCCCTCCCGGATGTGCGAGGAGGAAGCGCATCCCAGGAGGAGGGAGCAGGTGGCCCCCACACCTCGTCCCCGCTGAACCCAACGTGGGGCCACCCGCCCTGCAGAGCCTGCGGCCAGCACACACTTCCCGCTGAGTCAGGGCTGTGCGTGAGCAGCTGTCACTCTGTCAGCAGCGATGACAAGCACCACCACAGTGCCTGGAGCAATAACGCTGAACAGGGGCTCTCTCCTCACCCAGCCACGGTTTATTAAATTCAAGCTAGAGGACGCCAAAGGGTACCCAGGGGAAGCTGTTGCCGGGAAAACACAGGCACAAAACCATTTCAGCGGTGCTGCCCACACCTGGCCCAGCTGCCCACCGTGCATGCCAGGGGCCAGGACTTGGGGACAAGAAACACACTCTCCCAACACCCCAGAAATGAGACAGAACCGTTCCCCTGCGCATCTCAGTCGCAGCAGAGCCAGAGCGTCTCCGGGTTCTCAGTTGTCACAGAGGGTGCTGGCTCCCCAAAGGGCCTGCCCGGCCTCAGTCTACAGAACTTTCTTTTCAGGCCACCTAAGTAATGGTTCTTGTCAAATTAAACGCTCGTGATCTCTGAATAACCCTCCTCGGGGAAAGATAACACAGGCTCTTTCCGTCCCTCTGCCCTCTGCCTAGGACACAGCACACGGGGCCCAGTGCCTGCCAGTCCAGTCCCTTCGCCAAAGGCCACGCACGAGAGGGGGGGGGACGGAGGAGGGCAGCGCGGCTGTGCCGCTGGCGCAGGAAACGCCCACGGCTGACGACAGAGTGGCCCAAGTACAACAACTTGAAAGAAGCAAAAACAAGCGTTCAAGAGAATTAAAGGCTTAATCAGGAAGTCAGGGACCAGTTCTGCCACTGACTCACATCCCTGGATTCCTGCACAGTGCCCAGGACACCGCTGGCCCCAAGAGTGTCCAGGGCACAAATTTCAGGACTGGCAAGACTGGAGGACTATGCTGCCAGAGATTCCCCCTTCACCGAGCTGAGGGTCAATGGACTGGAGGCCTCGCCCATGGTCAGATGGCCAGAAGGAGGAAGGAGGGTCGATGTCAGACGACGGGTCACTCGTGTTTGATTGATGACACGCCTGCAACTGGCTGAGGGTAAGTTCTCTGAAGAGTTTTCTTCTCTCATCTAACCACCTGGGTCACCGGCTTGGAGAGCTGGGACAGGGGAGTGTGGATGGCAGACTTTGAACCACAGGCCAAGCATCTCACACAGCACACTGCCTGGCCTGCCCCAGCGACCTCCCATGTTGACCTCCAAGGGTGAAGGCAGACCCTCAGGCATGGTGGTGCCCGCCCAGCAAGGGACTGTCCCACCAGGGAGGGGCAGAACTTGGCCCAGATAACAGCAGGTATCCCTACCACGGGCCCCTCCCCAGGACACAGCCCAGGGAGAGCTCCGCCCTCACTTCTTGGGCCCCCTAGCATTCCTCGGCTGCCCACTGTACCCCCTGAAGATCTGGACCCTCCCCACCCCCAGAGCTATGCTTCAACTCTCACAGCACCCAAGCACAGAGCAAGCGGAGAACCCTGCAGGAGCACCAGGCCTGCCGGGTGAGAAATCAGGCCTGTGCGTCTTCCCCTGGTGTGACCACTGGGCTGCTCCCCAGGGCTCTCCTGCGGGCTCCCTTCCCAAAGCCTGGGACCAGTCTGGGGCCAGGGACAGGCCCACACCAGCACGAAGAACAGAGCGGCAGCCCCATGGCTTTCACAGTGGGAGCCAAGCAGGGAAGCACCTGCAGCCGTCCAGCCCCGAAGAGGCTCCTATGGGAGCGAGAACTGCTGTGTGCCAGGCAGCCTCACCCACGGGGCAGCGAGCACAGTAACCTCACCCCAAGCACATCACACCAACCTCACCATGTCCTCACCCTGGGGCCACGGTGCCCTTCCAGACTCCTTACCTGCTAACAGGTTCCTTCCACGAGCAAACCTGAAACGCAAGTGGAGTGAACCCGCCAGCTGTCTTCCTTGCTAACAGCTAGCTCCCCAATCGAATCAGCCGACCTGCATGGACTTCAGACACCAAACAGGCTTGCTGCGAGCAGAAACGGGTGACAAAATTGAGGAGAGGTAGAAATAAATTAGTGGACGAAGGGTTTTTCCAGGTAGAAAAATTTCTCATTAAAAGATTCAGAACAGACTGCCTTCCGGGTCGCGGTGGGTCGGGTGGCTGTCTCGTGTGGCTAGCGAGATGCGTATCACAGTCTTCTGTGGTCGCTGCCGGGGCGACCCGCACTGGGTAGGCATCCCAGTCCTTCCCAACCACGCTGCGACCTCTGGGGTCAGTGGGACACATGCTTAGCCCTTAGCCAAGCTAGGACGCCCGGGAGCTGCTGCTTAGTGGCGGGACCCAGGAATCAGGGTTTCTGTCACGTGCCTACTCAGGGCGCTAGCCCTGTGGCCAGAGGGCCGACTCCGACGGAGCCATACTCTGGGACCCAGTCTCGGCCATGTTCCACCTTCCTACGTTCAAGCATCAACCAAGCGCCTATTTCCACCCTGTGTAAGATCAGTGGATTTCTGAACGTTTCAAAACTATTTGGGGCCACCAGCAAGGTCCGGAGGTTTCAAAACTATTTGGGGCCACCAGTAAGGTCCGGAGGTTTCAAAACTATTTGGGGCCACCAGCAAGGTCCTAAGGTTTTACGGAGGAGTGCAAACACACAGCTTAAGGAAGGGCAAAAAGGTGGTGAGGGTGTAGAACGTGGATGTGGGAAGACAGTGAGCAAGTGTATAATCAAAGGAGATTTGTATGTTCCCAAAGGCTGCTGGGCAACCACACTCAGGCAGCAGGACAATAGCTACCCACTGCTCTGGAGGAACCTCTTGTCAGGGTTGTGATGGAGGCCAGTGGTGCCCAAAGTTGCAGGTTCTTGCCCCAAGAAGATTCCTAAGACACATTGTAGAGAATGTCCAAAAAGACCTGTAGCATCTCTATTTTTATTTATTTTCCCAATAAATAATAACTGTAATCATCTAAAAAAAAAAGATTCAGAACAAGATTTTCAATTAAAATAGCATAAATGTTATCAAAGTGTCTAAAACAATAAACTATGTGAACAGACATGACTTTCTGAGCACACCATATATAACTGACACACAACTAAATCACTTTATAATCATAAATGTCACAATCTTGGTTTTGAACCAAACTATGAATTTCAACTCTTAAAAATAACATAAAGTAATATGATACAAGATGTTTTGTAATTTGCATGGCTTCCATACTTGTGTCTAGTATAAATTCTAAACACACACCACTTAGGCATGCTTAATACTTCCTTTAAACTATGAATTATTTCATAATCTCAATACTAATTTTAAAAAGTTACCAAATTTTAAAAACAAAAAAAGATACTCTTTAAAAAACCATACATATACATGTATATACACGTTTCCGTCCCCCAAAATTGCACACATAAAGAGAAAAAGAACTCAAATGAGAGAATTAAAGAAACGGTGAGGGAATTCCCTGGCAGTCCCATGGCTGGGACTCCGTGTGGCTGGGACTGATGAGGGTGAAGGTTTAAGCCCTGGGGAACTAAGATCCTGCAAGCCACACATCATGGCCAAAAAAAAAAGGGGGGGGGTGAAATTTCTACATCAAAAATGACACAGTACAAGATCAAGAAAATAGACGACAACAGAACTGGAGAAAATATTTGCAAGTTGTCTACCTGATCTAAAAGTCTAGAATCCAGAAAATACAAAGAGTTTGTATAGTTCAACAACAACAAGACAACCCAATTTAAAAATGGGCAAAGGGCTTGAATAGATGCTCAATGTTATCAGTCACCAGAGAAATGCAAATGAAAGCCATAATGAGATATCCACTAGATTGGTTACAATTTTTTTTTTTTTAATGTAAAATGATAGGGCCTGGTGAGGATATGGGGAAACTGGTAAACAGGGAACCCATGCCCTGCTGGCAGGACCATAAAGCAGCAGCCAAATCTCCATCTGTTGACACAAGGATAGACAAAATGTGATCTGTCCTTCTACTATGAGCTGAATTGTATCCCCCCAATAACTCATAATGGGACTGCATTTGGAGACAGGGCCTTTAAAGAGGTAATTAAGGTAAAATGAGACCATATGGATGGGCCCAAATCCAACAGGGTTGTTGTCCATCCAGGACACAGACTCTGATCAAAGGGCAACCATGTGAAGATACAGCAAGAAGGTGGCCATCTGCAAGCCAAGGAGAAAGGCCTTGAGAGAAACAATCCTGCCAGTACCCTAATCTCAGGACACCCAACCTCCAAAACTGTTGTTTAAGCCACTCAGTCTGGGTATTTTGTTAGAGAAGCCTGAACCAACTAATACACCATACTATGCAGTAATCTTCAGCAAAAAATGAAATGAAATACACATTCTACAACGTGGATGAGCCTTGAATCATGCCAAGTGAGAGAATCCTGTCACGAAGGACCACATGTTGTATTTTTCTATTTATCAGAAACAACCAGATTAGGCAAGTCCACAGCAATAGGAGGTAGATTAGTGACTGTGCATTGCTGAGGAGGATAGGGGTTTTGGATGACAGCTAAGGGCCATGGGCTTCCTTTTGGGGGTAATGAAATGTTCTAGAACTGATTGTGGCGCATAACTCTGTGAATAAACTAAAAGCCACTGATCTGTACACTTTAAATGGGTGAGCTGTACAGAATTAAATTATATCTCAATGAACCTATTTTTAAATCTCATAGATAAGCAGTTATTATCTCAAGTAATCAATAAGGATACTTCAAGCACAGATAAGTTACCTTTCTACTTCTACTGGGGTCAGTTTTGATAAATTATATTTTTCTAAGAATGTCTATTTTTGTCTGAGCTATCAAAGTTACCAGCAAAAGACAGTCTGAACATGTGGCTTTTATTCTCTGCAGGACCTGTCTTATAGCCCCCCATCCGGGTGTCTCCTATGGTTTATTCGCTTCTCCTCCTGCTCTGTTGATGAGCCAGAAGTTTCTCTCTTTGGAAGGCCTTTTTGGCCATTGATCCTCGAAGACATGTGTCTTCTCCCTCCCTCATTTCCTGTGCTCCCCTGCTACTACCCGCGCTCTTTCCTTGGCAGTTTGAGCCTTTCTTCTCCTCCTTATGATGCTAGAAGAGGGATAAGGTAGGAGTCAGCAGCAGTTTCTACAAAGGGCCAGAGCCCAAACAGTGAGGTTTTGCAGACCACTGGCTGCTTCCCTTTTCTTTAAAAAAGAAAACAATGTTGGGGGGAAAAAAGGAATAACCACTCTTGGCTCCAAGGCCATACAAAAACAGGCCAAGGCCAGCTTGGGCCTGCAGGCCATGGTTTCACAATTCACAATTCCTGCTTAAGGTTTTAGATTGCCCTGTAAGGACACTGCTAGCTGCATCTGGAGAGTTCTGATATACAACTGTATTACTATTTATTTCTATCTTTACAATTTCATTGCAAAATTTCTATTGGGATTTCTTCTTTAACTCCTGTGTTATTTAGAAATCCATATATTTTCAAACTAAACACTCATGTCATGCCTTTATCTTTCTGTATCCAACTTTCAATTTCATTGTTTTGTTGGTCAAAGAATGTAGTCTGTACACCAGTAGTTCTCTGAAATTTCTTGAGACTTGTTTTACAGCCTTACTAGTAAACGTGCAGCATTTGTAAATGCTCCCGTGTCCAAGAAAGCATCCCCTCAACCACAGCTGCACAGCCCTACATGAACCCACAGAATCAGGCCTGTCTCCTGCTATCTAAGTCTTAGATATAAGGCTCCCTGCTATTCCAGTTCATCCCACTATTCTCTCTCATAAATGAACTGTCAGCAATGGAGAGAGGTGTTCTGAGTTCTCAGGACGACACCAGATTCGTCCATTTATCCCTGGAGCCCTATGATTTCTGCTTCTCACGTCCTCAAGTATAACAGCAACTTGTGTCAGTCACGGATGATGCCAAATCACCAGGCTACCCACATCTGTTCCCTCTGCCTCTGCTACTGGTGTCGGCGGGATCTGGGCACGGGGAGGGGACAGCAAGGACAAGGGGGACCTCCTAGCACGTGCTGCAATGCTCACATCCACCCTCTGGCCTCCCAGCCGTCAACGTGGAGGATGCAGTCACGCTGTTGAAGAGCTGGCGCACCTCACCACGGAACTGCCTCTAAGTCTGGATGAGCTGGGGAGGGGTCCTGGAGAAGGAGGAGGAGCCGTGACAGGACGGGGTGAGGGGAGCAGCTATATCACGGTGTCAGCAGACCAGCGTCCACACACACCACCCATGAAAGCACTGCCGCAGGATCTGCCCCAGGAGTGAGTGGCCACTGCCTGACTTCCACCTCATGTATACCCTTCCCGCAGAACCAGAAGGGGACGGGATCTCGGCAGAGGGACCCAGCTCAGGCACTGCGGCAGTGTGGTGGTGGCCTGTGGAAAGGAACCGTACAAAACAGGGCTGGAGGAAGAAGGGGCAATAGTCCCCTGGGTTCTGGACGAGCCCTCCCCTTCTCACCTGAATGCTTTGGTCCCAGGGTGACCAGGAAGACTCAGAACAATGTCTGGTGCCCAGGAGGTACTCAATGAAGATTCTAAAATTGCTGTCTGGTTATTTCTGCCAAGTATGCCTGGGAGCACCACTTGCCCTACAGCCAAGGGCTGGGGTCTGACACCCAGGCCAACTTGGGACACGTGGCCATGGGCCTGCTGAGACCCTGCATAGCCTCCAGGCCACCCAGCCCGAACTCCTGGTGGAAACAAAGACAAGCACAGCTGCCAGCAGTGCCTCGCGCCCTCCACGACCTGGGAAGAGGGGAAGTTCCGCGAGGAGTCAAAGCCCCACCTGGGCCATGCGAACCACCTTGAGGGGGATGAGCCCATGCTGAAGGACACACAGGAAGCCAGCTCCAGGCTGTCCCCCAGGTTCCAGACAAACATCATAACCGGCTGCCTCGAAACAGGTGGAGTGAAAGGCAGTCATGGTAAAATCACACAAGAAAAGCAAACACGTGAGGGAGAGTCTCCAGATGCCACCAAAGGACAGAAACCCAACACTCCATATAAAAACAGAACCTAAGAGTTCTAGTCTAGTTGGTGGTCTGGTTAAGAATCTGCCTGCCAATGCAGCGGACAGTCCCTGTGGGAAGATTCTATATGCCGCAGGGCAACTAAGCCCGTACACCCCAACTACTGAGCCAGTCCTATAGAGCCCATCATCACAATGAAGAGTAGTCCTACTTCTAGAGAAGCAACTAAAGAAAACCTATGTACAGCAACAAAGGTACAGCGCAGCCAAAAATAAATACATAAATCTTAAAAAAAAAAAAAAAAGATAACATTGCAAATGGAGGCCTAGAATACTAAACATATAAGAAGAGGAATGAAAACCACAGTGAAGGAATCAAGGAAGATTTTAAAAAGAATCGAAACAATGTCTGGAAATAAAAGGAGAAAAGATTCAAGGCACGGGTGGAGCTCTAAGGTGGCCTTGGAGGCCAAGCTCAGGAAGTTAGCCAGGCTGGCGGAGCAATGCGACACCACACACAAGAGGGCTGGCAGCCAGGCTCAAGCAGAACAAGGGAACGACTACAGGGGCCTGTTCCCCACTGTCTTTAGTCTGTTCACAGCTCTTTTACTGCTATGTTTTCACTGATGTTAATTGTAGCAAGAGACAAAAACAAATCACTGTGCTAATTTTTTTCCTTGGCCTTGTTTGCTTTAACTAAGTGACTTCTACATGCGGTTGTGAACATATCCAGAGACATCAGGTAAAAAGCCCTTTTAAAATACAAATTCATATTTCCTGGCGGATCAGTGGTTAGGACTCTGCTTCCACAGCAGGGGGCATGTGTTCAGTCTCTGCTTGGGGAACTTAAATTCCACAAGCCAAATGGCACAGCCGAAAAAAAATTTTTGTTTAATGAATAAACAAACACATACACACATACAAATTCAATAAAAGGAAGTAAGCACCACATCACTTGCCCCGGGAAAAACATAACGAGCCTGATGAGGGACCAGCGAGGGCACTGAAACATCAGCAGATACTGTTGGGCAGGCAGAGGGGAAGAAGAGAGGAAAGCTGTGGGAACCCTCGAATCTTGGCCCAAGTTCACAAACCTGAATCAGTCTCCCAGCCAAAGACAAAACAAGCCGAAGCTCATGGTTTCAAGTTTCACTTGAGACACAGAAGCCACAGCCCGGATCACGCTGGGCTCGGAGACCCTGCCCAAAGCAGAACCCCTCCTCCCAGCCCGGGCCCCCATGGGGGCTGGCCAGGTGAGGAGGAGCCCTGGGTCCAGCTCAGCTCGGCTGGGCTCCACACCTCCCTGGGGGAAGGCGTCAGCAGGGAGGAGTCCCAGGAGCTGCCGGCACAAAAGCTGCCCACAGGCCACAGACACCGAAACCGGAAGCCCTACGGCCACCGTCCAGGAGCACAGGACACAGGATGGCCGGGCTGGGAAGCGGCCGGCGCGCGCCCCTCCAAAACAGAGCAGCTCCAGTCCCGCAAACATCCCAACAGTGGCCTTTACTGGGATCATTAGCAAATTAAAATTCAAGTAATGCATTACACATCTCAGACTTCAGGTTACAAACGAAGCCCTCCACTTACTCATCAAAGGAAGGTAAACGTCCAACAATAAAACTTTCCCCGGACACTCCCACATCCCCTGGCCTGCCTCACTGGACAGACAAATAAACTCTACTTTCATTTCTATTTTTCAACTACTCGATAAGCAAAAGATCAACTGATACCCTCAGGATTTTTTTTTTTTTTAATGAGACACCAAGTACCTCACTGGACAGAGACAATCACAGTTTCAGCCCCAACCTCTGCCAGCATGTGCCCCATGCTCCCCACACTTGGTCTCATAGGCCCAGCTCTCACATGTTGACAGGGGAGGACCCTGAAGACCTGGTGGGCGCAAGTAGAGCCCCTGCACACACTACACTCAGCTCAAGCGAGGTGGATCACACAGGCCAAAGGCTTGAAACTGGGGGCTGGGAGAAATGGTCAGCACAGGGGCGGGGCACCACCAGGAGCCTCAGTCCTGGGCCTCCTGCAGGAGTCTGAGAATGTGTCTGTCCTGATCCCCTGGACTGGTTCTCCAACCAATGAACAAATGCCTAGTGAGCACATGTGCATGAACATAAGCTACCATGAAAGACCTTAGGCCTGCGCTCCAAAGCCCACAAGTTGCAACTACTGATGCCTGTGCACCGGAGTCTGTGCTCCACAGCAATAATGCACCAAGGTCAGCCCCCACTTTCCACAACTAAAGAAAGCGGCACGTGCCAACAATGAAAACCTAGCACAGCCAGTAAGTAAAAAAGAACACATGTTCATCTCTAAGAACTTAATGAATGTCACCTCGGAAGCTGCTTAGGGTTTACTGTCTTTACAACAACCAAAATTTGAGAAAATGAAATTATGCTTAGGGTTTTCTGTAGAGTTTTCATTTCCTTTTCCTTTCCTCTGGATGCCAAATCCCAGAGGAGCACTAACAACTGAAAGTAAAACTAACTGGTATTTACTTGTAAGGTCGAAAGTAAAAATGATCTGCTTCCTTCATCAAAGACGTTTTGTTCTGTGATACATACCATTCCCACCGTACGAACACAATTTGGTGGGATACTGTAATTAACCCATCAGGTTCCAAAAAAATCCAGGAGTAGAGGCCTCCAGGGCACCTTCTACACATAGGAAAGCTGGGGCCCAGGTCAGACAACTACTCTAAGCCACAGGAGGATGAAAGAATGGAGTCAAGACTCAAACGTCTTGGTAGCAGTCACGGAGTACAAGTCCCTGATTCAAGTCACAGACGTGGCATCCTGCCCCCGGGGCAACCTTTTCACTGCCTAGAGGACTCTGCTCTGCTGTCCTTGAGGCTGGGTGACCTTGGCCAAGTTACTTACCCTCTCTGTGCTGCCTGACTGCAAATCAGGCTCCTGAAGTTCCCATTTCAAAGAGTTACTGCAGTGATTAAATGGATTAATAGAGGTAGAATGTTTACTCAGCACAGGGCCTTACATCTAATAAACACTCAACCTGCTCCACCAAGAGAGTAAACTCTGGTGATGATAAGCAGGTGAAGGAGGGATCACAATGAAAAAAGAAAAGCTTTGTGGAAGAAAGGGAGACTGCAGAAGGAATAGCACCACCTGTCAAAAGCCATCATTAAAATTCCCAGAGAAATAAGAGAAGCCTACTGCAACTACTACCTAAGAATAAGATACTAAGAAAGGAACACTCAGAGAACATGCATGAACTCATGGAAAGCAAAAATCTTAATATCAGGACAGAAGGGTCAGAAGAGAAAGCTGAAGAAAGTGAGAACGCCGAGAACAGAGAAGAGAGCCTACAGGAGAGAAGCAATGGCAAGTGAAGAACCAGGAATCGCCACTTACACAAACTTTTACAACGGGTGAAACTAATCTATAACGGGAGAAAATCCAGCCAGCAGCTGCTCCCGAGTAGTGATCTAGTGTTCTACCTCCCAGCAGAAGGCACGCCCACGACTCAGGGAAGGGTACTCTCGGGACCTGCGCCCTCGTCACATGTGAATTCTACCTTCAAAAGAAGTATTAATGGTTAACAACACGCCTGCTGAACACATCTGTCTTTGAAATGCAACAAATACTTGAGATGGATCGACATGTGGAAAAGAGAAGGGAATGCAGAATACCCTGAGTGGTAGGACAGAGAAAACGTTCACTGCAGAACCAGTGCTGAGTGTCTGAGCATTCACTTATGTGAATTATGTGACTCATCTGTATGTCTGAAATTTTTCATACTAAAATGTTGCAGGGAAAGAGTCAGGGATGAGAATCACACCAAACTTTTCAGAAGCAGCACTGAAAGCCAGATCAATGGAAAACACTTTCAAAACACTGACAGTAAATACTTTCTGGCCTAGGATTCTATACCTAGCCAAACTATCAACTAGATAGAAGGGCAGAAAAAAAGACACTTCCAATCATTCAGGGTCTCAAAGATTTGCCTCTCTTGCATTCTTTCTAAGGAGCCTACTAAAGGGCTGTGCTTCATTTATACTCAAAGGAAGGATCAACCCAAGAGAGAAGACAATGTGAGATCCAGGAAGCCTGGCTTCCAACTCAGGAAAGAGGCAGAGGGAATCTCAGATGACAGGGAAGGCATGCGTGGAGGTAGAGGTGTTAAAAGAGCTACATTCTCACTCCCTATAAAGACAACTGACCACACCCAAAACTGGGAACAGTGAAGGGGGGTGGGGGGAACAAAACAAGCAACAGAATAATGTTATTTGTAATCAAGGAGGTAAATTTCCAAAATCATCAGCTAAGAGAAGGTCCCAGTGGGGCTCCTGGCAGGCAGGATGGGAGGGGAGCAGCCAGTGACACGCTCCCACTGAGAGGATGGGGCCCCTCCCTTCCTTCAAACCCAAGAGAGCCAAGTGTGATCCTCTGGTGCTTTCTACTCTGAGTCCCACACGGAATAAGACTGACCGGCCATCCTGGAGAGGCCTCTGGATGAAAACAAAGTGAGGAGGAGGGATCAGCTGCTCCCCCAGGACATGAGGCAGCTGAGTGCCCACTAATGCCACAGCACACAAGATTGGCCTGGAGCAAGCTAGACTCTTGACCCGAAAAATCTTGAGATCATAAAAATGGAAGTTTTTTAAAGACACCTGTTTTGGGGGGCTTGTCATCAGCAAGAGGTGAGGGGAGAAGCAGGAACCACTGTTCCTGTTCTACGGTAAGACAGAACTATTTTTTTTTTAACTCTCTAAATTATGTGGATGTCTAATTGGATGAAAGTAATTTAAAAGACCTTTTTTTCAATTCAACATGAAGGTAATAAAGCCAAGTAAAATCTTAAGCCTAAAAAGAAAAAACTAAAACAGCATCTGGGCTGGTAGGCCCACCCTGGCACCCACACTCACGCCATGCACACCCATCTCCCCGTCCCCACACCTGCACCACATGCAGCCTCCCCGAGAGAAGGGAGGCAGCCAGAGACTCGACAGCAAGCAGATGAAGGGGAGTGGGGGGTGCCCTTGATCACAAACTAAGCGTCTTAATCATTTGAAGAGATAAAAAGGGGGACCAAGGAAAGGCATGGAGGCCGTTCCCGGCAGCAGCACACAGCCACGCAGCAGGGCAGCCTTGCTCAGGGCTGGTCCTGGGCGTGCACCGGCAGGTCCCCGCGGCAGCCCAGGCGGCCCCCCTCCGGCTCTCCAGGAGGACCCGGGCAGGTCTCCCAGTCCCCGGGGTGGAGGGTGACAAAGGTTCCGTCAAACCCTCACGGGTAGGACACCGGGGCTGTCGGCATCCGTTAGAAGAGATGCATTTCAGGCTAAATGTCAGCATTGGCTGCCGCCGCCTGCACACACCACAGCTCCCCTGGGAGGCCTCTACCCTCACCTCAAATGTGTGCAACCCCCGAGTTCACAAAGAGCCAGGCGGCACTACCATGGCACTCAGGAAACCCGGGCAGGGAGCTGCCGTGAGGCACGGAGGTGGCGCTGGCTGGCCAGCTTGGTGGGTGCAAACACATGAATCGTAGCTGCGGGCGGGAGGAATATCAGGTGCATCTCTACGCCCCGAGGGCTCGACTCCTACATTAAATCCCTCCCACTGGAACAGCCGGCTCCAGTTTCAGCGAGAGCGAGCGTGAGAACAGGTCCTGCTCTGGCCCGGCAGCCACAGCTTCTACCTCCCCACCTCTGGTAAGTACCTACTATTTGTACCTACTATTTCTTCTCAAACGCGAGTTTTCTTTGAAAACTCCTCTCAGATATATCTTAAAACTATCTGCTCAGTGAATCACCTGCCCAGAGTCTTTCTGCCCTGCTCTTTTCTCTACGGATTACTCAGGACCCAGCAGGTGCACTGCTGGAAAGGAGACCATTACAAAACTTTTAATAAGGCTTACACTTTATTCTAAGAGTATAAACGAGTTTATTTGGATGTGAAGTTCTCGTTTCTACCATAAAATTCAACAACTTTAAACCCAAACTCAACTTGATGTTATACTTATCTGTTCTTCACCTTAAAAAATTAACAAGTTTCAACATAAAAGGACCACATATATACATAGATAGTTGCAGATCTTAATTTATAATTTATTTAATTTTACAACCTTTTAGATTAAAAAAATGATTAACACTGGGAGTCACTGGGGAAGGGACCTGGGGAGCAGAGGTGAGAGTGAGATTTTTTTTTTAAACTGCTTTTTGAATGTATTCTCTCCCAAAAAATTTTAAATTAAAAATTAAAGAGGAAAAAAAATTCAAACCTTATGGAGTTTAAAGTAAGTGCTGTTTTGACATAAGCTTACCAAGAAAACAAAAAAACATCTAACTAAAGAGGATCTTTGTACATACAAAAAGGGAATTTTCTTAACTCTTAAAAAAGTCTCTCATAAATTTGCATGAAAACAAGTACTGACCAAATTATTGGTCAGACTGGCCAACATCAGACTTAACGTAATGAAAACCTGTCTATTTGTTATCCTGATTTTTATTTTGTATTAGCCAAATCCTTCCAATGCTTTAACCTGGTGCTTTAAGGTGAGGAGGCGGGCAGTTTGGGGCACTGGCTCTAGGGAGATGGCCCGAACGTTAAAGCTGCGTGTTCACTGCTGAACACTGTTGTAATCCAGGGTCTTTGGCTGAAACCAGAAAAGAGCCCCTGGTTGTCTTCCTGGATCCATTTCTCCAAACTATATTCCAGAAAACTATCTTTTACTCTAGGTCATGGTTGCCCTGATGTTTATCCTTCATTTTAAAGAACTGAAAGTCTGGGAGGGAGTGGTGGTTAATCACTGGAAAAGCTCAATTGGGAGTAAAACTCACAAATCTCGTTCTTGCGACACCCCAGTGGGTAGGCGACAATGGCGTGTCCTTGAGTTATGCAATAATGCCACATCACAATATCGTAATTATAGCATGCCCTTCAGAACGCGCTACCTGGCGAGGCTCCCTGCCAGGCAGCTGGACACCACCGGGGAGGGTGGAAGATTCTTCCAGTGCAGAGGTTAGTTCGCATGACATGCATAGCTACCCGGCACGTCACAGCAATGCCCCATAAAGTTAAGTTATAATTACCTCTATTGTGTCCTATCAAAGTTCAAAAACCATCTTTCTCTTGCCTATTTTTCGGAGTTCAGACTCTCTAGAAAACTGTTAAACATACTGGCCACTCACTATCACCCTAACGACTGGCAACTATGGAGACACTTGTCCACACTTAGGAGGCTACTGAGAGACGCGCACTGGCACCTCAGTGCTTCCGAAACAGGCAGACAAAGCCCCGTGGACACGAAACCACAGGTGGCTCAGAGCGCCCTGTGGACAGCACCACCCAGCTGCCCAGGCCTGTGGGAGGGGACGCCGCAGCCGGCTCCCCAGTCGGGACACAGGCAGGGGTGGCGGCACATGAGGGGTCACGGGAGGGTGTTCTGAAACAGAGTGGGCTCGTCCCTGCGGCCCTCCCTACCCACGCCCCTCAGGGTGGGACCCGACTCTGCTGAGGGCACAGCTGAGGGCAGGCCTCGCACCAACAGCTGCTCGCAGGCAGGAAGGCAGGCGGGGACCCCCTCCCGCGTTCGAGGACAGCACCCTGACCTGACATGCAGGGCTCCCCACGCCTCCTGCTGAACCAGTGATAGGTGTAAGAAGGGTAAAAGACGCTGTCCCACAAATAACCTTCTAGGACCAGGCTAACATCTGCGTTTTCAACTAACATGCTAACGCTGCAGTTCTCCCAGGAAAGCCAAACCGAGGGCCCTGTTTTGTTAACCCCTCCCTGTATGGCCACCCCAGCCCCCAGACTGTACCAGCTTTCCCAGGACAAGGACCCTGAAACACCAATCTTATCACCTTCAGAAAAAACCTCACCTCTGATGTTAATCTAAACTTCCTATTTACAAACTTAAACTCTGGATTATATTGTTTTGCCAACAACACCCTTTCTTTCCCCATCCCCACCCCACTGCCAGCCTGCACAGGTCTGGCAGATATAAACTGACCAGAGATGGGCAAACCCTGTTTCTGTGGCTGGCCAGACTGACGAGGTCCTGGGCACTCAGCTTTAGCTTCTCATCCTGTAAACCTCACCTGGGCAGGAGAAAACCCACGGACTGACATCATCTTCCTAGAGGCTGTCCCCTTTGGAAGCTTACAGAGGCCTCAATCTTACCCCATGTACTTCTCTGACATGATTGCATTTTTATAATCCAGTGAACTAGCTCGTCTCCATCGGTGTCTGCAGCAGCTGCACTCCCTTGTTTTAATTAGTGAATTGTGCAACCCTGGAGAGGTCAGTTTACTCAAAGCTACTAAAACTGCTGTCCCTGTGACTCCATTCAGGCTCGCCTTCCAACAGTTGCGGCCCAGAATACTCTCACCTCCCAGAATACTGGCACAAAGGAAAGCATCCCCTGAGAACCTGTTCACTGTCCTCGTAAGCTGGCTGACCAAGAACAAAAGGTTCAGACCGAAACTGCGGGCACAGTATCATCTGACTGAAAAAAAGTACATATTAACATAAGAGCAATTAATTCCCAAACTATTGAGTAATGCTGTGAAAACTTACATACAACCGATCTCCTATAAACCTTTGAGGAAACTTCACCAAAGTGAGCTTATTTTATATTTTGGCCTCAAAGTATGAGCAATATCAAACAATACTGCTTTTAAAGCTAACACCATCATCATCTTAAAACCGAGGGATTTTCGGCTGGTTTGGGCTCGCGGGTCCGGGGTGGTGCAGCAGGTGTGTGTCTGTGTTCACTCCTGGTACCACCAGGGCTCTCGGGCTCACACTTGATAAAATGTTTTGCAACTGTCATCATTTTGATCACCGTGCTTCCAGCTAGTGATGAAATCATCAGTTTTCAGATCTCTGCCATAACATATCCTATACAATCATGGGAACCTGACTTGCAGAGGTTCTCACGCCTTCAGAATCAGGGAGCATAATGGGACGTGCCAGCACAGGTTGCCCTGACTTATCAGGCTGGCCCCGAGCTGGCTGGAATCACTTCCTGACGGGAGGCAGGAAATCATGCTTTTATAGCCCAGGGCACACCTGCCCCACAAGGTATGGACTGAACTCGTAAACTATTTCGCATTTTCCCTTAATAAAAGGGGAAATTAGGAAGACGCAAAGCTGTGACCACATGTTTAACCGAGCTGGGCTTTCACACTGTGCGTAGTTCCCGCAATCGTTCCCAGTGGGAGAGGAGGACGGCGGGCAAGAGTCAGGCACCAGGTGCCGCTGGGCTGGCCGCTACCCACCTGGTACCCTACCAATGAACACCCCCAAAGAGGGCCTGCAGACCCTGCCTCTCCAATTCGGGGGCAGCCAAAAATCTCACTTCTCGTCCAAACTATGCACCCAAGCAACCCTGCTCTGCAGAAACGCTCCCCACGACAGAAGACAGCAGGCCACCCAAACCACTTCTCAGAAACACGTCTTCTGAGAGGGGATGGGGCAAAAAAACAGGTTAACAGAGGCAGCTTGTTGGGAAGAGAGTGGTTCTTTGTGTTTTTAAGAAATATGAACATAATGAGCAGAGGAACCAGTCTGCTGAGAGTAAGATCAGAGTTGTTTTTTTTTTTAAAGAAGATATCCAAGTGAAATTAAAATCCCACTCCCTCCCCACTTAAGCCCTCCTCTCGCAAACTACCCATTACCTCATCTCCAATGTGTGAGACGGTAGCTACGTTTTATTCTGTGAAAACAAGTCTCTTAGATTTCCCATGCATATTTCTCTATTTTTAAAGGGCTGCTTTCCAACTCAGTGTTTTAACCAACCCGATGTTTAGAAGGTGATGCTTTATACAAGCAATTTCACAAGGCTCAGAACTAACCATATTTACTCATTCCTTAAAACAAAACTGCAGTTGCAAGTTATTTCCTTTATAAGTTTATTGTTTAAAGTGTTTAAAAATATTGAGAAGCTAAGTCCTTTCGACATTTTTTTATGCAAATTAAAGTGCCGGCCTCGATTCCTCACCACCACCACCCCCAGCCCTCCCCACCCACAGGCTTTCTCTAAGACACAGTCACCCCATGGGCTGATCCTGGACACGCAGCCGCGCCCGGCCCTGCCGAGATCCTCCCAGACCTCACGTCTTTTGTTCTCAGCTTCAGTTTATGAGGCAGAGTGAGAGCCCAGGGGTGTGCAGAGCAGCCTCTGAAGGAAATTCAGGAGATTAAGCTTGAGGGGTGGGCAGGGACAGGAGGACTCTGGGGAAGAAATCTGGAGGCCCCTTCTACAGGTTAAAGGCTGGGCTGAGTTCCACCCAGAATCCAATCATTTCTAAAATTAGGCACCACTCACTCTGGTTTCCTCTTGCCAGGAGGGCTGTTAAGCTTTTCTGCCTTCTGGTAAGGCCAGAACAGGCAGGGATGGGCTACTATCCGAGGTGGGCAGTAGAAGGCGAAAGCGCATGAGGACAACTGCTTACTCACAGGCTCATCGCATCTTAATATCATTCAAATCGTGCTCGCTTCGGCAGCACATATAATATCATTCAAATCAACATAAACACAGCACGTTTGTATGCAGGCCAACACAAACACTACTCAGAAACCTGACTTTTCAGCTTTCTGCTTTCAGAAGCAGGTGGGGGGTTGCACGGGAGAATATGTTGCATTTTTACTTGTTCTTCACTTTTAAATATTCCTTCGTAGAACAGAACACTGTGATTAAATAGGGCAGATGGGCTGAATGTTACAATCACACTCGCCTTGTCCTGAGTGAGCACAAGTGTGAATGTCACAGGCACGCGTGAGCCCAGGCCTTCTCAGGTCGCATTAGAGCTCGGCACTCGGTCCAGGTGACGGGACTCAGTCCAGAAACCCCAGGCACACAGACAGGGGCGGGATCTCAACAGTCACTCGGTCAGCTGGTGCACAACCTTCCTGACAAATGAGGCCTCAGATCACAGGTTAAAGGTTCCCAAAACCCAAAGAGTTACAGGTATTCTCTGAAACGCCACTAAACCCTCCGGCAACCACACTCCCCCTACAGTAACAGAGAACACTGTGGGGGTGGCACCTGGGGCATTGCGGAGGGTCGGCTGATGCCCGTCTCATACCTGCCCCTACTTCAGCAGTTACATCACCTGCAGGGGCCTTTGCTTCTCCTCCTCCATGAGCCAGGGAGCTCAGGCTGGTTCTTCGTTAGCCTGTTAGCCAGCATCCTGACACTAAGGCTCTGCTCCTCCATTTCAGCTCCTGGTCCCCAAATGAGCGAGACTTCCCTGGTCACACCCACAGCCCGTGAAGCCGGCTTCAAGTAGAAGCGCTCAGAAAGGAAAGCAAAGGAGAAGTGGTGACCTGCTTCCTTAAAAACCACCAAGGCTGAACTACGCAGGAGCCAGTGGGGCTCAGACGCCAAATCACAGAAGGAAAATGAGCCTTCTCAAAGAGCGAAAACCAAAAAAGCCACATTACATCCCCAGGCCCCCAGGAAAGCCATTCAAGTACAAGTGTTTCCAGTGTCCCTTTACTTGCAATGAAAAGTCACATCTTTTCAACCACATGAAATACGGTCTTTGTAAAAACTCCATCACTTTAGTGTCCGAGCAAGATCGTGTTCCCAAGTGCTCCAAACCAAACTCTTCAGACCCTAAGCAAACCAATCAGCCCGACCCTGTGGTGAAGCCCACCTCTTCCAAGCCCGTCCCAAGCGGGTTCTCACACCTGGATGCCAAGCTCCAACACGGCCTCGCCAAGGACGACATCAAGGAAAACCTGGACCTGCACGCACGTGGGCCCCACAGGTGCCTCGGACAGAAGCCTGCTCCCAACAAGGAAGCAGCGCCCCCAAGCCCAGCCCCAGAAGCTGCCGTGGGCACCCAGCCTGTTCTGGAAGGAGCTGTCCGGCCTTCAGCATTCGTTCCAGTGGGGGAGCACAGACTCAAAGGGCAGGAGCTCACAGAGGCTCCAGAAGCGCTGGCCCTGACCCACCCCCCTGCCAAAGCCACCTCCTTCCACACCAAGTCTGCCTTCCACACCCCCGGCTACCCCTGGAGAGCTGGCTCACCTTTCCTCACACCTGAGTTTCCACATAAAATCCCATCCACAAAGGGCTTTGGTGCCGCTTCCCCGTATGTGCACCCCAGCATCACGGAGTACCCGCCTCATTTTTACACGGAGCACGGACTGGCCACCATCTACTCACCTTACCTACTCGCAGGGAACTCGCCCGAATGTGACAGCCCTCTGCTGTCTGTCTACGGGGCCCAAGACCAAAGACACTTCCTGCCTCACCCAGGGCCCATCCCTAAGCACCTGAACCCGGCTCCATCCACATACGACCATTACAGATTCTTCCAGCAGTATCACTCCAGCCTGCCAATTCCTTACGGATTTTACAGACCCGAGTCTGCGTTCTCCTCCTATGGCCTCAGACTCCCACCCGTGGCTGGCATTTCACGGGACCAAAGCTCACATCTACTGGAAGAAGCTGCCCTGGGTTACCAGGCCTTGAGTCCCTCCAAGTTAAACTCCTCCAACTCCCACAAAAAACACACAGAGTTGGAGAAGGAGAGTCCAACTCCCGAGGCTAAAGAACCTTCCAAAGATGGGCAGAGGGACACGGAAGGGACCAAAATGAGCCCACGCGCAGGCAGCGCAGCCACAGGCTCCCCGGGAAGGCCAAGTCCCACCAACTTCACACAGACAAGCCAGCCGTGCGCTGGGGTGTGCAGCCTCTCAGATGCGCCCGCCCCCGGTGCCCCAGGAAGGATCCAACCACCAGAACAGGGCCTCGCAGCCTTCAAGCCCATCAAGAACACGGAGCACCCACATTCCCAGGCCCCAGAAAACAGAGCGGCATCCCCGAAAAGGTAAGCGAGTCCATTTTCCAAACCTCTGAAGTCAAGTTTCTGGTTGTGCTCAGTCAGAGGGGATGGCACTTGCCCAAACTCCCCATGAGCAGGGTCCCTTAGCAAGGTCCCTGTGACTCCCTCTCTGTGTCTCTTCCAGCCTCGAGGCCTCGAACACAGACGCTCCAACTCAGCTGGGGAGCCTGGAGGCCTCCCCCTCCAGCCCAGAGGACAGCTCCAGGGTGGCCCCGCTGAACCTCTCCACGAAACCAGAGGCTGAGCCAGCTGCCTCTCACAGCCCTGCCTACGGAGAATTTGTGGAGCCGCAGGACGCGCCGCTCAACCTCTCAGTGAAGGACCCCTGCAACGCCCTGACCTCAAGGCCCTCTGTGTGCAGCCCCCCTCGAGGGGCCGAGCCCACGGCTGCCCCCACCCCCTCTCCAACTCAGCAGAGGGAACCTGCAAGTTCTGGGGACAGACCTGACCCCAGCTCTGTGGAGGCCCCGGTGCCCGGCCCCACTGGGAAGGCCCAGGAAATACGTGCAGCTGACAGCGATGAGCAGAAGCAGACGGCGGCCGTGGCCCTCTGCCAACTGGCAGCCTGCAGCCCGGTCAATGTCGAGCCCGCAGCCCAGGAGCCCACCTGCCGGCCAGACGCACCTACCCCCAGGGCTCCAGGGAGCCAGGAGGCTCAGTGCGACCTCAGACCCAAGGGGCAAAAGAGGACGAGCCCCAGGGAGGCAGGGAAGGGCCAGCAGGGATCCAAGAAGGCAAAGCCCAGTGACACAGCCAGAGTGTTCACACTCCGGAAGAGAACTCGGGTGTCTTAGAGCCGCTCCCGGGCAGCCAGAGCTGCAGCCACAGCACGACTTGCGATGTAGGCGAGATAGCAGCAAACCCCCACCTGGCCCTCACGTTTCTCATCTGGTCAATTTTTACAACTCAGTTGTCTTCTTCACAAAATAGGGGGAAAAAAATTTAAGATAAAGCTGCAACTCAACCAAGTTTTGTAAATATTAAGAATAAACATTAAAAGGTGCTTCTACTTCTGGCTGTAAAATATTTGAATGACTCACACTTTAGGATCTGATGCAAAATGTCAAATGAAATGCATAGGACTGAAAGGTAACTTTTAGGTGTTAGCATCTTAGAGGAACTCTCTTTAAAAATAGTTATTTTTAATTGTTTTTCTATTATGTCTACTACGTGTTTCAAAGTAAAGAACAATTACTGGGGGGAAAAAATGCCAGGAAAAGACATTTCCGGTACTAGTATTAAAGTGCTATGTGTAAAAACGCTGTTTGTTATGACTGAATCACAGACAGCAAGAGGCTATTTATACAAGTAATTTATTTCCACTGGGAAGAATGCATTGCTGGGGAAGCTACTCTCAACATGCTCTGTCTTCACAACATTACAGTGACTCTTCTGACTCATTCGGCCTGGTTTTCCACTTCCTAAAATGATGTATATGTTGCTAATTCTCCAATAAACTCATAAGTAAAATTCGAGGTTACGTAAAAAGAAGGTAAGCATAAATGCTGTGTTACATTTTACCACAATAAATAAACTCATTGAAAAAGAACTGAGGCAGCAGCAGTTAAAACTGAGGGTGAGGACACCTCAGCGCATGTGTGAGGGTGCGTGTGTGCGTCTGCTACCCACCAGCGGTCATCACGCCTGGGTGAGTGCATGTGCCTGGGGTACCTGTGAAGACCAAACATCCAGGGCCTCAGTTTTCTAAGCTGCTGCCTGAAAAGCCACAGGGCCCCCCACCCTTCACAAGGGCCATTCCCCACTGTTCAGAGGTTGCCTCTCAAAAACACAGTGTGTGGGCACAGGGGGTCAAGAAAGGGCCTGGAAACGGCGGCATGGAGCTGAGCTGACTGGACTGAGTGAGCTCTCTCTCCACAAGATGAGATGTTTCAACTCAACTTTGACCAAAACAGGAGCAGTCCCAAAAGAGCCACCCAATGAGAACAAGCACTGCTAAAGCTAACACCTGCCGTCCCCAGTGACATGCACGTATGACAAGGCTTCTCAGCGCTTACAGCCAAAAGTTTAAAAGCTTTAAATAAAAAGTTGCCTTGTTCTAGATATAAGCACTAGTCACCGAAAGACTGTTTAGTCACTAAGTCGTGCCCGACTCTTGCAAACTCATGGACTGTAGCCCGCCAGGCTCCTCTGTCCAGGGATTTCCCAGGCAAGAATACAGGAGTGGGTTGCCATTTCCTTCTCCAGGAGATCTATCCAACCCAGCAATCAAATCCGCATCTCCTGTACTGGCAGGAGGATTCATATCACCGAAGACAGCCTGAACTACAAATCCATCTGGCTAATAGTTGCATTTCATTAAGATATTATTTTCAGTTGTTTTGATCAAGATTATACTAATAACTAATTCTGTAAAAAATCAATCTAGAAAACTTCTTAAACAATTAGTACCTTTTGGCAAAACAAAATGTGAAGAGCTGATGTCTGCCTTCACAGACATCCTCGTGCTGAAGACACCTGACAGAGAGATCAACAGAAGATTCTCAAGCACAGAAACATGTTACACTAGGAAAAAAGCCTCTGGGAAAAGTAAATGGAAATACAAGTTCAAGGAGATGAAGGATACAGTCCCTTCATTTCAGATGGAGTATGGTGTATTCCAAGGCATCATGATGCCTGGATCCCACCAGACACATCCCAGGCAGTGATGCAGTAGCTTTGTGTTAAAATGACAGTATTCAGGGGACTTCCCTGGAGGTCCAATGGTTAAGACTCTGCTCCCAATGCAGGAGTCCTGAGTTCAATCTCTGGATCAGGGAACTAGATCCCACATGCTGGAACTAAAACCTGGTACAGCCAAACAAATAGTTTTTACAAGGAATTTTTTTTTAAATGACAAGGACTTCCCTAAGGGTCCAGGGGTTAAGACTCCACCTGCCCATGAAGAAGACACGGGTTTGATCCCTGGTCCGGGAACAGCCCATGTGCTGCGGAGAACTAAACCTGTCACCACAACTACTAAGCCTGCTTTCTATAGCCCACACACTGCAACTACTGAAGCCCATGAGCCCTAGAGCCCGCGCTCCACAATAAGAGAAGCCACTGCAATGAGAAGCCTGTGTGTCACAATGAGAGAGTAGCCCCTGCCTGCCACAACTAGAGAAAGTTCACGGGCAGCAATGAAGGCCCAGTGCTGCAAATAAATAAATAAATAAAAATAATTTTTTAAATGTTGCTTATTAAAAAAAAAAAAGACGCTATTCAGCATGGCAAACAACCTGCCTTCCAGCAAGTTAAATTTATATAAAACCAATGATACCAACTCATATACTCCAATACTTTTAGCTACCTGATGCGAAGAGCCAACTCATTGGGAAAGACCCTGACGGTGGGAAGATTGAGGGCAAGAGGAGAAGGGGATGACAGAGGACGAGATGGTTGGATGGCATCACTGACTCAATGGACAGGAGTCTGAGCAAGCTCCGGGAGATAGTGAAGAACAGGAAAGCCTGGCGTGCTGCAGTCCATGGGGTCTCAAAGAGTCAGACACAGCTTAGCGACTGAACACCACCAACCCACAACAGGGACGTAGAGCTGGTCTTGATTCTTTTAAGGTAAATAGGAAGCCACTGTTACATATTGCCGCTGTTACAGATTGTTATAAATCATCAAGGATGGCCTGTGAGTCCCTGCCCCACACCACCAATCCAACACACGTGTTGTCATGACCAGAAACCAACGCACACATGCACAGCCCTCACTGGCAAGCCTGGGCTCTCTTGTTTCTGTATACGAATATGCTTTGACAGAGACCAAAAACAGGGTACCCCTGCCTTCCAACAAGTCCACACCCTGCAAGCAGCAAAGCGGAGAGTCAGGAGCTGTTCCAGGCTTGGGGCCCAAAGCCTCAGGCCCTAGAGATAAGCTCTCAACTCATGCCTTACAGGCAAGAACATAAAACTTCTGTTTTGGGGGCCCAAAGATTCTAAGCTCACCCGAGAATGTCCACCACCATCTTTAACGACAACAAGAAGAAACAGAGACAGTTGACGACTGTGCAGAGTCCTGCATCCACACAAGCTGGGGAGCCCCAGCGCTGCCTGCAGATGTTCACGGTGCAGCCACATGTGCCTGCAGACCCATGAAATTCACTCGCCTAAGGGAATTCCTCCAAAAGGTCACCTGCACACATACAGCCACAGAAACCATGCAGGCTCTCTGTAACTACCTCTACAAGCACAGTGGGGTCTTAGATCTTAGCAACAACAGCAAAAAAAATTGTCTTGCTGATTTATCAATGACAGTACCTTTCTTCATTCACATATAACCCAACTCCAGAGCTGTCTCTAACCTTCATGTATAAAAAGCAATAAATCCTCAAAAACTTTAATACAGAATTACCATGTGACCCAGCAATTTCACTCTTAGACATACACCTAAAAGAAATGAAAACCGGGATTCAAACAGATACAGGCACCCAATGTTCATGGCAGCAGTATTCAAAATAGTAAAAAGACAGAAATAACCCAAATATCTACTGACAGATGAACACATAAATAACAGGTTGTCCATACACACAGAGGACTATCACTTAGCCATAAAAAGGAATGAGACTTTGGCATGAGCTACAAAATGAATTTAACCTTGAAATCCTAAGTGAAGTAACTGGAACACAAAGGACAATCTTGCACGATTCCACTCGCATGAGGTCCCCAGAGCAGTAAACTCACAGAGGCAGAGGGATTTGTGGGTATCAGAGGCTGAGGGGAGGGGAAGGTGGGGGAGTTACTGTTTAAGGGGACACGGTTTCTGTTTGGGAACATAAAAAAATTTGCAAATAGTTGGTGATGATAATGGTTATACAGCACTGTAAATGTAGTTAATGCCACTGAATTTTACACTTAAAAATAGTTAATATGGCAAGTTCTATGTCATATATAGTTGGATGGCATCACTGACTCAATGGAGATGAGTTTGGGTAAACTCCAGGAGTTGGTGATGGACAGGGAGGCCTGGCGTGCTGCAGTCCATGGGGTCGCAAAGAGTCGGATGTGCCTGAGCGACTGAACTGAACTGATGCCATATATATTCTAAAATGTTTTTAAAAGTCGGTAATGTAACAAACCAAAGTCACTGAATCAGACACTTATAATAGGTAAACTGTATGTTACGTGAACTACACATCCTGGTAAAGCTGAAAATAACTTCTAAAAAGGGTCCTTGTATTCACAGTGAAGAAACAAAAGTACTGACAACCTGCTTTGTAACAGTCTTACCAGCAGCCCACAGCCATCTACTTCTACCCCTGGTTTAATCTTCGACCAAAGTGCCCCCACTCCCAAGACAGGGAGAGGAGTATGAAATAAAGTACGCAGACTTTCACTCAAGGAGAAAAACATTTTGATACAGAAAAACACAACCCCTACTCCACACACTAAGTCAGAGATGTCTCGGTATGGCCAACACTTTTCTTACAGGCTGGAATGTCCAAGAGTTCAAGATTGTACAAAGGTTAAAAATCAGTAAAGCACACAGTCATCAGGAGAATGGGAAAGTTTTAGGAGAGGTCAGGCGCAGTGGAGAAGGAAAGCCAGGCACACAGGCCCATGGAGAGGGAGCAGTAAGGAGACAAGAGAGGTCGGCACTCTGCACATGAGGGCTGTGGCCAAGGCAGGACTCACCCACAGGCACAGGCTGACCCCAGGCCCCATGGCCACCCCAACAAGGAGGGAGGGCAGCAGCCACGCCGTGCAGCCCATCCCAGGGAGTCGAGAATGTTTCTGAGGCTGACTTTGGCTTGAGGATCCCCACTCCCCCAGAAGCCCTTCCTGAGTCCACAAGGCCCACCAGGACGCCGCCACCCACATCCCAGCCCCGTAAGTCTTGGGGTCGGAAGGTGGCTCTGCCAGCCTTCCCAACATTTCCTAATGAAGTAACTTGCACACTTAATCCTGTCTTGGTGTCCACATGTTCTCAGAGGACCCAGAGTAACACTGGAATGCTATTCAGATGCTGGTTATTGGATGATGTCACAGAATATGGCCGTAGGGAGCTCCACGAATTGGTCCCTCCACCAAGGAAACCAGTAAGCTGGTAAAAACAGAATCTAGCTTTTCAGCACTCTGGAATCTAATTTAAAAACCTGCATCAACCAACAGGGTGCTTAGTGAACAAAGAGGCTACTAAATTTCAGCATCTAAGAAACCTCTGTTAGGTCACTGGCTATACACTAAAACAACAGAAGAGAGACCTCAGTGACCAAACAACAAGGAATACAGTCATTGCAAAAAAAAAAAAAAAAAGTCTGGGAAAAAGTCACTAAATAAAGAGATGACTAAATCATCTTCAACAGCAAGAGCAGCAAACCTCTGACAAGGGAGAATGCCATTTCTAGAGTTACCACATCATGTGTCAGAATGCCCAGTTTTCAACAAAAAAGTAACAAGGCACACAGAGAAACAAAAAACTATGGTACATTCACAGTGGAAAAAAAAAGAAATTGACAGAAACCACCTCTGAGGAAGGCCAGACGGCATTTTACAAGACATAGACTCTGAATCAATTATCTCAAATATGCTCCAAGAGCTA